GGGCCTGATGGCCCGAGTCTCGCCACGTAAAATAAGGCATATTCAATTCAATTCAATTCAATTCAACAGTTGCAATAATTAACATGTTATACTTTGAAAATGTTTCAGAGCTGTTATATTGTTTATTGTAGAAGATGTGACCTACAACATTTGTGATCAGAGATTTCATGAGTTCAAAATAAGAGAAATGGCTCCTAAGGTGAAAGTAATCCGCAAGACATTAACAGAAATGTCAGCTCAGGCAAAACTTGGCCAGCATAAAGAATTATTAGTGTTAGTAGAATTACATATTCAAATTTTCTGATTATTTATTGCTTTTAAATACAATATATATTGAAAAAATTTTCTCTTAATTTTTAGTAATGGCATGGAAATTGCAGTAGTGTACTTTCGGTCAGGTTATGAACCTAGTCAGTACAATAGTTCAGATGACTGGGATGCTCGATTGTTGATTGAACGATCTCAAGCCATCAAATGTCCTACAATATATTATCATCTTGCTGGTACAAAAAAGGTTCAACAAGCTCTGGCACATCCAGGTGCACTAGAAAGATTTCTGAATGATGCAGATAAAGTGGAAAGTGTTCGTGATATTTTCACTGGCCTCTATGCTCTAGAATTTGTAAGTAGAAATTCTCAAAATAATTTTTCACCCAACAAACTAATTGTTAATATAGGAATTCACATTTTTTTATAATTCTATTAATAATATTTGTACAGTTGATGTATTCTACCATGTGCAATATATTTTTACTGTAAACAAAATCACTTAGTAAATAAAATATCTTTTATGACATAAACTTAATGAAATTATAAGAAAAATTAGATCACTTAAGCCCCATATTTATGTTGAAACTCAGTTTTGTTTATTAAATCATGTTGAAATGTTTATGAATATGATGAATTTTTTAATATGTTCTGTGTGCAAGATTTATTTAAAATTCTCAATTCTCATGAATGGGACAGATTTTTCAATAATTCTCTTTTTCTCAATTATCTTGACACACAGGCAAACATTTTAATTTTGTTACATTTGTTGTAATAAAATACAATTTTAGAATGAATCCTTTTTATCTTACATATCTGTATTATGGAATATAAATATTGGTAATAATGGTAATGAGAATAACAGTTGAGTTTTGATTCTGAAAGAATAATTATGTGCAAAACATAAATCACAAGATCCATCGCTTGCTTCTGGATTTGTAAAACTTAAATGTATTGCTGATTGGGGCTGGCATGAAAAGATAAATGCAAAAGGTAGTAGGTTTTGAGAAAGTATCATAGTATCATCAGAAAGTATGTGAAACAATCGTGCATGAACCACGGGCTATCCCCAATTTTTCCTTCTGCATCCTTGTCCCTTCCTCTCTTCCTTACACATGCATGCTACCCTATAATTTTGAAAGACCGCTTGGGAGCTTGCCCTAGTTGGGATTGCATTCCACTGGGGGAGGAATAAGCCCACAAGCCATCATGTAGCTTGACACCAGAATTTACATTCCAACAAGAAGGAAACACAGCTACCTCCACCACCACTACCACCACTACTCATGATGTAACATGCATTACACTTTCAGAAGGAATGATCGATGTAGTAGTTGACGCACATGCAAGAAGCATTATTCAACAATGCTCTGGAAGGATTGATAATCAGATTTTGATTGTTAAACTCTAAGCACATGGTAGCTATTCACCTGTATCTGATCATGCATGATTCCGAGAAGCAGTGAGTTAAGTTTGACAATTCATGGCAATGGTCTAGAAGTCATAGAAGTGCGGTCTTATTTTGCTTCATTTCTCAAAAAAACAATACCTGGAACATGCACAAACTTGTATATGAATTATTTTGACATATAAGTATATTGAAATATATGAAATGTTTAAGTAATAGTGGTCAAAATGGGTAAAAAATGTAATTATACCCAAATATGTAAAAATATTTAAAATAAGAATGGTTTTAATTCATTCAGAATGTCATGAAAACTAAAAAAATTACTGAATGTAGGTATCTTGTACCTATAAAAATGTGTATTTACATGAAAATTCGTTCCCTAGTTATGAGTGTCAAAATAGTATGTTTTGAAGGATTACTTTTAATGAACATTTTCCATTCAACAGAATGAGAGTGGTGAGAAAGCAGTTGAAATGGCAATGAGCAATCCAGATAATTATGTTTTGAAACCTCAACGTGAGGGTGGTGGAAACAATGTGTATGGACAACAAGTGAAAGAAGTATTGGAAGGAATGAGAAATTCACAAGAACGAACAGCGTGGATTCTCATGGAAAGGATTAAACCTCCAGTACAGAAAAGTTATATGATTCGCCCAGGTACAGCCAATTCTGAAGGGCAAAAATTGGTACCAGTTGATGTGGTCTCAGAGCTTGGAATCTTTGGAGCTGTTATTGGGTAATAAGTTTTCAAATTTCAGATAGTTTGTTTCTTTAAAGAGTTGCAGTTCTTTTGTTGATCTTCACATAAGATGTCTTTAAAAAAATAATAATAAAAAATGTAAAGATTTTTTAAAAAAGGAGAGAGAGGTGATCTGGGCAAATAAAATTACATGTTAAAAGAGTATATGAGAAGCATTTAAAGAAAAAATATTTTATGTAAACTTTTCGTAATTTTATTATAAAAATTGTTTAGTTTTTAAGGATTTCAAAAAAATTGTAAATAACTGACCCAAATTTTTCTTGTGATTTTCAGTGATGCTAATAAAATAATCTCAAACAAGCAAGTGGGACATATGCTACGTACAAAAATCAGTACTGCTGATGAAGGAGGTGTAGCAGCTGGTCTCGGAGCTCTTGACAGTCCCTACCTCATTGACTGAAAAAGAAAACATGTTTTTGATGTTTCTCACATCATTGTAAATTTTTTTTTTTTATATATAAGAAAGATTTTTGATATAGAAGACACACTGTGTATATTTTTTATTCATATTGGACACAATAAAGTAATTTCAAAAAAATTGACTTTTGTTTGTAGAATATACATAATGCAATGATTGTGGAAATTTCTCTATTTGAATGCTACAATGCTCAAGGCCAATAGTTAAGAGCCTATTTTCAGAATCTGAACATGTTCACAATATCACAGCATGATTCAGCCTGACAGCAGACTCTTGAAGAGATTTTCCCTATATGTAGTATGTTCTTATATATTCCCTATATGTAGTAAATACCTTCCTTTAACATGTTGTGTGGTCAAAATCCATTTTTTGTGGGTACTTTTATTTTTTATTTATTTAATAAATGATTCAAAAAATAAAAGTTATTGATATGAAAAATCATCTTGTCAAAATTTGACAAAACATCTTGTCTATGGTCAACGCAAACGCAAAAATCGTTCTGCCGCTTTTCTCAAAAATTTGTACTCTGTGATGAATTTAAAGGAACTTGAAACCCTATGAGTTTGAAACGGAAATTTTGATTTATGAAGGGTATTTTACATGCCTCAAAAACATTTTCAAAATTTTCTCTAAAATTGCTCCAAAGGTTTGGATTCCACCTTGTTTTCAGTTAGCAAAGAAGACACTTAAAATGACGCTGGTCTCAGTTTCATTAAAAACATTAATTTCTCAAAAATTGCTAAAGTTAAAATTTTTTGGGTGTTTTCCTACAACTACAATATTGAAAATTGATTGATTGATCGATTAGTGATTGCATGTGCATCAACTGCTTCGGTCATTGGTTCGGCATGTTTTTTCCGTCTGATGGGGAAAGATCACCTCCACCACCCTTCAGTCACGAATGCAATAATATTTACAAATCGCTGGAAATGTGCATATGAAAGCCATGAGAGATCTTTCAAAGAAAAAAAAAGTTTAAAATGAACTTAACGTCATATTAAAGAATGCAATTTGCACTATCCCTTACAAAAATTTGAAGAAAACATTTGGAGTAGTTTTCAAGAAAAAGGCACGGCACTTGAGCCTTTGTAAAAATGCAGAATTTGAGCTTGTTTTGATAGAAAACAGTTGAGTTTTCGAAAACTTTATTTGGCATTCTTAAAAGCACACATACTTATAAATATAATATTGTGAACATTTCGCTGTTCGTGTAAATATCGACGTAAGAGAAGTAAAAAAATTACATTTTTCAGAAAACAAAAGAATACAGCAATATGGCGTCTGTCATATTAGAGAGTACATTTAGCACTATCCCTACCAAAAGTTTAAAGAAAAAACTTGAGCTGTTTTTGAAAAAATCTTGTACTTGTAATTTTTTTAAATTGGATGTATTACTCGCAATATTGCGAGGAAAATTACAAAAAAATTTAAATAAATAGTACATGACAATGAAAACACACTATGGAGAACACATTTTATTTGAAGGAAAAATCTCTATCTTCAATTTTGTGGTTGTAAGAAAACGCTCCAAAAATTTTGGAAATTTCGAAAATTCAGAATTAAATCTGAAATTCGCACCTGTGCTATCTTTATACTTGTATGTTGCTCTATACTTATAAGAAATTTAAAGAAAAAAATGGTGTCATTTTTGAGAAAATTTTCGGAAAATTTCCGAAGTACTTCATGGAAAGTACTCCCAAAGTTTGAAGAATGTTTTTCAAAGTTTCGACTCGAACCACATGGACAGGGATTTCTTCAATTTCGAATAAATCCTACGCATCGTTTAGGTGCTAGTGTTCACAGGTTCCAGACAAACGGACGTGGTGTTCACAGATGGACGTTTTGAAAAGAAAAGAAAAAAAATACTTTTTCGGTATCAGGGATTTTCAAAACGGTATATATTTCCCTTGAAATCTCAAAATCGATTTTCCGCAGCTTTACATAACTTTTCCTATACTACGTATATTGCTCGGTATGTACGTGCGTATACGGGAGAGTAAAACAAAGTAATCGTGCCGTTATTAACTTCTGATTAAACAATGATTCAAAACAGTTTTATTCACATTCTAATATATTTTTTAAACTTTATACTTAATTTTTTCATTAAAATTATTATTTAATTCTCCGTGTGGTGTCTCATTTTTTTGTCAGTAAAATATGTCAATTGAAAATAAAATAAAATTAGTGGAAGGGGGGAGGGGGATCCAGAAACGCTCTCGTGGTCCGTGATCAGGAAATCAACGTCCAGTCCAATCTTCAGATCGTGCGTGCTCGGGTTAATCTTCCATCCTACTCTATCTTCGTTTGTAATTTTCATTTTTAACATATCTTTCTAATTTAATATCTCAATTACATTCATTACTCATCGTTAGAGACGTCAATTCCCACAATACTTTATGGGGTTCCTTTCGAACTTGCCAGAAAGGAACCGTTGTGGAAAACGTCGTAGAGAACGCCTATCTCATTCTTTTGGATACAGGACTTCACACACAATTTTCAGTTCTGTGTGTGATCTTCTCGTGTACAAATGTAGTTATCTGTAGCCAATCACACCAACCCTTCACTGATCTGCCCTTGATGATTTATAAGGAGTTATCGTTATCCAGCGCTGCTGCAAATCGATGCTTTCGTCCCAGCTCCCGTTCGACATCCCCACTGGATATTCCAGCGAGCGGACGGACCGGAGTTCGAGGGATACCTTTGATTGTAGAGTAGTTACTCGGAGAAGGGACCATTTTGACCGTTCCGGACACAAATGAATGTCATGCAGGGAGATACCATTACACAAGTTTGTGATGAAGCCATTTGCAAATGAGCTAAATGTAAACGAACGCACTGGCGAAATGTGTGCATTGACGTAACCTGCAGTTGTTACCAGAAGTGGCCAAGCAGTAGCTGTCAAAGCGGTCCCATCTTATATTTTTCGAAAAGACGGTGACATCGCATTTCAACGCTGCCGTATAGGATCGATGGTGAGACTGAGACGTAGCCCAATACCGCGGTGGCGCCCAGACTCGTGAGTCAAGATCCGGAGGAAGCCACTTTGCACGGCTGGAAAGTCTTAGAGAATACAGAACGGTCACGGGCCCGAGAGAGAGGAACGATGTGAGGCAGCGAATCTGTTACTGAAGAGCCTACATATCTTCTCTTACGTGCCCCCCCCCCCACCTCGAAGGTCGTCTGGATGAAAATACGTAAAATCTAAGGAACGCTTTCTTCTTCTGCAATTCCCGGCTTTTAGTGAACGGGCCGTTGCAAACATCACCAGACGTAATGCAGTGGAGTTTCCTTTAAGCTACTCGTATTGTTGCCCCCCTCCTCCATCGTTGTTTTCTATGAAAAGAAGAATGGAAAACTCTGCCCTTGATACTCCGGCCAGAGTGGAGGAAAGCTACAATGAAGCGTTTTATGGATGAACTTTGTTCCCCCGAAATAATATTGAAAAACACTTCATCGTGGACCAGAATCTCTGCCAGAAAAAAGCCCGACAGTTCCTTCTTTTCCTCTTCAACCAAATATGGTACGGGCATGCCATTTCTAAATACGGAGAGCCCTTTGTAAAACTAATTTTTCACTTCGAAAATATTATTTTTATACCAATTAGCATCTTTTTAAGTGTTCTCGCCAAAGAAATTTCAGAAGTTGATTTTTTGCGTGCACCCATATATGTATTTGTTTGTTAAAGGCTGGAGGAAGATTAATACTCACTGTAGCAATTCTAGATAGTATTTTTTAATACATTTGTGAAACGATATTCACAGCAAGCAGACTATGTTGTAACTTGCAACTTGAGCAACGATTATAACGAGTGTTGGAATATAAAGAGGATTGCAATGCGCCTGTGCACCTGTTCTGCGGTACTATCATGTTTGTACATTATGTTAAAATGGACATCTGATATCTTCTACAAAATTGAAATCATATTATGTGATTCGTGTATCTATAGTATGAGCAGCTACCCAGATTTCTCTTTTAAAATATAAAAACTTGTAGAAAATAATAACTAATTTTTCGTTATATTTTGTATAATTCTCAAATCTATAGCTGTTTTAAGTGATTTACACAAGGGAAAAAGAGAAAAAATACATACCTGAATTTCTGAATCTTATTATTATATTTAAATTTGAACTTTCTTCAGCTTTTCATTGAAGCAGATTTTGCAATTCTTCAATGCGTTTGTGTTGTTGCCTGATTTCTAAGGCCAACTGATGTATTGCATCACAGAGTTCACTGTGATCATTCTGCAACTGTTGGAGATTGTTCCCAGCTATTAGTTTCATTAAGTGACTACTTTGATGCTCGGCAACTAAGAGCATGCGTAAATCTTCTCCGCGTTGTATTTCTCCCTAAACAAAACAACCATCAACCATACAACATTCACGTGGAGTAAATATGACTCCAGTTAAAGAATTTTTGATTCCTCTTCCACAGTGACGACAGATTTGCTTTGCATTTGGTAATATTAACTTATAATTGTGAATGAAAGTTTAATGATTTTAATGGACTCTGAGATTCAGACACGTAAGTCACCATGAAAAATCCGGTTTATAGAAAATCACATTTTGGATATGGCCTCATTGGAACTCCAAACCCTACTGCCCGGAGTAGAAAGAACCAAAACGGTTTATTTGGGTGACCCTGATAAGTTTTTTTTCTTTTTTGTTCACATAAATTCGTCTGCCCTTCCCTCTGTGAAAAAAGAAAAACTAACCCCAGGATTTTCGCCAAAATGGATATTGCCCGATCGATTTGACTGCTGACGCGACCCCTGCGGTTTGGAAGTAATAAGTAGTATAAAGAACCGATTGTAAATCGATTTCGGAAATACACCTTAACAAAAACGTCCGGTAGTCCGTCCGTCTGTCTGTGGGATTTAGTGTATGAGAATAACAAGTTTTTCCAAACTGAATAACCGCCTGTCAATCTGGCTTGAGACTCTGCGATTTTGAAAAACATTTTGGGAGATACTCTACATGAATCCCCTGGAATATTTTCAAAATTTTCTCAAAAATTACTTCAAATTTTTTCTTTCAATTTCTTGTAACAATAGAATGAAATGCACTTATAATATTGTGGTGTCATAGATTCAATTTCACTGTTATTTCTGAATTTTTGAAAATTGCAAAAGTTTGAATTATTTTTAGCGTCTTCCAATAACTAAAACATGAATATATAATTCTTATGAAATTTGTTCT